TGAGCCGGAAAGAGAATTGATTCGTTCATCTCTCGAGTCTTCGGGTCCGAGTCATTCGTCCATCACGTGACAGCCCCATAAGCTTTAACCAATGCAGTCTGAGCCGGAAAGAGAATTGATTCGTTCATCTCTCGAGTCTTCGGGTTTGAGTCGTTCGTTCATCACGTGACAGCCCCATAAGCTTTAACGTAGTGGTTCTCAGCCCGCGGCCCGTCACGAATTCAAATTCCCACCGTGCTGAACACAATTAAAAAAAATACTTTCAGATTTACAATACATTTGAGTTTTTATGGCGTTATTTTACTGACAAATGTCGAGAGCGCATTATTGTAGCGCGAAAGCACATTAATATAATGCTCGAGCGCGAATCTCTCCACTCTCGCACAAAACCGCACGCACTTAAAACGTGTCTCTCCTCTCACTCAAACTGTCCTGTGCACTCTCAAATCTCTCTGTGCTCATGCGCAAGATATTCAGTCTTTTCGCACCTGAATCTTTAATCATAAATCATCTGATTTAAGACAGAACTATTTAGATATGGGTCAGATGCACTATTCCCTAAACCGATACTTACGATTTGGAGACCAAATATAACACTATAATTAATTTGTCACATTTGTCATAACATTACTACATTCTATTCTGTGGGTTTAATGCATTTGCAGACAATGTAATTACATGTAACTGTCATATAACTGTATATTCACCTTAAAAGCGCCGTGCGCTATTTACTTTCACTTTCGAATTAGCGGCAGTTAGGCATCAATTGCTTGAATGCAACAACAAAATACAACGTCAAACTCACTTTAGCCTATATATAAAACATAGAACTTTTATTAACAAAACAAATAAAAATACACCATGCTATAGGGCAGGCTATGCCTAATATAAAATAACAAATAACTTACATAACGTTTAAATAGGTATACAAAACTGGAAATAAGTAAACATGTATAATATATAACCAAATAAATAAGAAACGTAGAACGTTTATTAGCAAAACGAATAAGAAAGCTTGGAGGCACGGCATACACCTTAATGTAAAATAAAATAAATAAATGACACTTCTCGTCTGTCTCGCCTCACTCTTCTCATCAGTCTCGACTCACTATTCTCGTCTGTCTCGCCTCACTCGTCTCGTCTGTCTTGACTCACTCTTCTCGTCTCTCGCCTCACTCTTCTAGTCTGTCTCACCTCACTCATCTCGTCTGTCTCGACTCACTCTTCTCGTCTGTCTCGCCTCACTCTTCTAGTCTGTCTCGCCTCACTCTTCTCGTCTGTCTCGCCTCACTCTTCTCGTCTGTCTCGCCTCACTCTCTCGCCTCACTCTGCCTCACTCTTCTCGTCTGTCTCGCCTCACTCTTCTTGTCAGTCAGGTCGACTCATTCTCCTCACTAGAGAAATTAAATCTGATCTGTGATGCAACAAAAGCCGCGTTCAGTTTTTAATTGTAGTGTCTGTTTTGAATTAAAACTAATTAATTTTTATTTCTATAAAAAAAATCTAAACGATGGTGGGGGTTGGTGCCGTGGTGGGCAAGTGACGTAACCGGTGTTGCGGCTTAACAACGGTATCACCGTCAGCACCATCTATCGCGGCAAGCCTAATAGATTGTGAAGTGCTGCTGCTCTTTCAGCTTTGGGCCGCTCCAGATCCACTGCTGCTTTAACCCGGATGTCTGCTGGTCAGGAGGCTGGGAGACCGTGTGGAGACCACAGTCAGAAAGCACTGTCCACCCCAACCCAGCCGTGGAGTCCAGAGCTGCCTGCTATAGCACTCCTCTGCCTTCTGAGTCGACTCAAAGGAAGAGGCAGAGCTCAGAGGATGAAGATCCCTGCACCTCATACGAGAGACCCGCCAAACGCTCTGCTGAAGGTTAGGCTTATTCTGAAGACATCGCTGAATTAAGTGATTTGCCGTTGAAATGTTCATTCACTGATGATGATTACAGGAACATTCTTGTAGTCGCCTGTTTTCTCATTTCTTGTGATCTTGTGATTGTTGCAGATGCGTACATAAAGGGCCCAATGCTGGGTCAAGGTGGATTCGGCTCGGTGTTTGCTGGGACCCGCAGCTCTGATGGATTGCCAGTAAGACAGTTTCTTTCCTCCTTAATTCATTCAAACAGCCCTTATTCATGACACTTATGGCATAAACCGTATTCATCTGTACAGATCACAAGGTTATTGTCATAATTAGCAGGTGTAATTTACTGTGGTTCATCTGTCTGCAGGTGGCCATCAAGTACGTGACTAAAGATGAGGAGCACGAGGACATGGAAGTTGTGAGTTCAGTCACATGTAAGGTTTGATACACACATAAACCCACACTCAGCCCTCTAGCGATGACTCAAGGGTCTGGCGTCTCCTCTGCCGCTGCAGGAAGGTCAGGGTCTGCTGCCGCTGGAGGTCGCGTTGATGACCCGGGTCAATTCAGCTCCTGTCTGTCCCAGTGTCCTGAAGTTGCTGGAGCGGTTTGACCATCCCGGCAGCTACGTCATGATCCTGGAACGGCCGGATCCTTGCCAGGATCTCCACAGATTCTGTGAGGAGAACGGCTGTCTGGATGAGAGCCAGGCCAAGAAGGTGCTACTGCAGCTCATCGACGCTCTTAAACACTGCGAGAGCCGCGGCGTCTTCCACCGAGACGTCAAGCCACAGAACCTGCTCATCTGCACCGATACCAGCGAGATCAAGCTGCTGGACTTTGACTGCGGACACCTCCTGAAGGACTCGGAGTATAAAGAGTTTATAGGTTGGTTAGGAGCAGATCTCTGGAAGTTTGTGTTTTGGACTGGAAGCGTTTGAGCTGATCTCTTGCTCTTCTCGGGTCTCTCAGGCACTCTTTCATACGCCCCTCCGGAGTGGTTTCGTTCCCACAGCTATCGTGCCGGACCAGCTACTGCTTGGTCGCTGGGTGTGACGCTCTACAAGCTCCTGTGCAGTTCTCTACCTTTCAAAAGTGCATGGAGGGTTCGCAGACTGCGCTTCCCGAGTCACCTGTCTGCAGGCAAGATATGGCAAACATGCAGCTGTTCACAGACAGAAATCACGGCCAGAGCGAGCAGAAGTTGATGTTGTGTTGCTCAAGTACTGTGTTGTACATAACAGACTGCCGTCAGTTGATTAGATGGTGTCTTAGAGCAGCAGCGGACGAGCGTCGCAGCTTACAGGACATTGAACAGCATCCCTGGTTACGCTCCGCAGGTGGCCAATCACAGCACACTCATCTCAATGACTCAGTGTTGATTGGACAGTTGGATTGTCCTGTCAGGATAAATGTAGGTAACTGGCTGTAATTGTGAACATCGGGTGAGCAGGAGTGCAGGACACAGGAGCAGCAGAGACGGCTGGACACCTGCAGTGAGGACGAGTGGACAGCAGGCGTTTCATGTGTTTTGTAATGCTGTGCTTCACTCTGGAGCGTGACTGTGGGCTCTGTGTGGATGCTGGAGGAGCTGGACACGCAGCGCCGGCTCAAACCAGAGTCCTGATGCTACAGAGATCCGCTCCAGACTGAGCCTAAACCAGCATGCAGCTGTTCTGATGAGGAGGAGAGAGACAAAAACATCAAAACATTAGGAATCGTTTAATTAGTTACCATCTTCAGTTAACTGAATCCTATAGAAAATATTTCTGTTACTTGAACTAAAATAAACTTTAACTGAATCTAAAAATCTAAATCTTAATAAAAACTATAATATCATCTCATTGTCACAGCTTGTTAACAATAAAGATCTAAATCTAAATGCTCCAGAAGTCATAAGATCATATTTATTTTGCGTTAGCATGAAGCTGCAGTTTCACAATACATGAATTACACTTACAAATCATTTTTTTTAACGCTTGAAATGCTATTTACACCTTTACAAAGCTTCTCTTGCGCATGCAAATGTAATTTACGCTTACAGTCTTATGTACACTTCCACAACTCTTACCCTGCGTATGCAAATCTTTTAGGCATTGTTGTACCTTCATAAATGACTCTGTGATTTAAACTAGTTTACAGCCAAACAGGAGACACACTGTGTGCAACAAACGAGACCGAAGGCTTTTCAATCTACACATCGCCATCATTTACCATGGATTGACTGTGGTAACACTCGCTGCACCGTGGTATTGTGGCAGAAATGTGGGATATTCACATTGAATTTCATTACAGGAGTAATGGTATAAAATCATAGTATGTATTTGTGATTAAGCTATAGCATGTGTGCATTTATACTGCTTACGCTTGAAATGCTATTTACACCTTTACAAAGCTTCTCTTGCTCATGCAAATGTAATTTACGCTTACAGTCTTATGTACACTTCCACAACTCTTACCCTGCGTATGCAAATCTTTTAGGCATTGTTGTACCTTCATAAATGACTCTGTGATTTAAACTAGTTTACAGCCAAACAGGAGACACACTGTGTGCAACAAACGAGACCGAAGGCTTTTCAATCTACACATCGCCATCATTTACCATGGATTGACTGTGGTAACACTCGCTGCACCGTGGTATTGTGGCAGAAATGTGGGATATTCACATTGAATTTCATTACAGGAGTAATGGTATAAAATCATAGTATGTATTTGTGATTAAGCTATAGCATGTGTGCATTTATACTGAATGTTTTTAGACTACTGTTTTTCATACTAATAGGCTACCTAAAACCATATAGTTATATTTTTACCATGGTATTGAGGTGCATATATGTGTGGTTTTAACTGTGTTTATCATGATTTAAATGTATGCTACTATAGGAGACCAATGCTTTAAAAAAATAAAAAAATAAAACTTGGTCAGAATAAATGTAACCATAAAAAACGGAGGTTGCTACAATTTTGTTTTACAGATGCTACTGATTTTGATAATGAACAAAAATGTACCTCTGCATCCTAACTCAAGCTACTATCAAATGTGCATTTCTAAGAGACAAAAAAGTGCTATTATTATTATTAATATTATCAGGCAACCCAAACCTGTTTCTTGATTTTAAACGATATCACTCATTAGAACATGCAGAAACTAAGACATTCATTTAGATATTTATTTTGTTAAAGGAAAATTAATGGTCTGCTTTCTACAACTTTCACTTTAGAGCAAACATCTGGCTTTAAACTTGAAAGAAATAATAGATTTTATATTTATCGTGATAATTATCGATATCGACTGATATGAAAAAATAACCGTGATCATTTTTTTGGCCATATTGCCCAGTTCAGGGTAGTACAGGCACTTCATATTTAATGGTATTTTACTGTTTTGATTGCATTTAATGCATTATACTTTCAATAAAACATTTGCAATGGGCTTTTAAAAACAGTTTTAGCCTTTTTTTGTGTGTTGCATTTACACGCTTTTGACCAGCAGGCGTCGCTAGCGATCAGCAGGATTCTCCCATCACTGATGAGAACATACTTTCACACAACCTTTTGCTATTACATATCCAACCACACAATAATATATCTAACAGCCATACAACACACAGCAGCCAATAATACAAATATAAAATACCAAAATGACACTAGACACCCAAAAGTTTTAAAACAAGTTTTTTTTTACCTTGAAAAATGACTTTCAAAGTCAACTCTGATGGTACACAGACTTCTAATAAGATGAACGGCTTCTGTTTCTTTCCAAAAGTCTGTTCTGGAAGTGCATAAGTTTAGTGAGCGGTACAAATTAAACTCCAAGCGTGGATCGCTTTACGACAGCAACAACTGCGCGTGCACAGCTATCCACTGCATTTACGACAGTGCATTCCACTCACTTAACACATACACAGTTTCACTTAAATATGAAATAAATCACATCTAAACTGAATCTTCTTGTAAACCTATCATTGAAGAATTACGCAGGTAGATTTTGAGGTGAGTTTACAAACCCCTAAATGAAAATGCAAGTTGTGGTGTTGGAAATGTATTATATCTAAAAGTATAGTCTAGTCTAGTATTAAAGTATAGACTATTTATATGCATTCAAGTTAGTTTTTCATTGAAAACAACTGAACAAATAAAATGGCAGACGACGTATGCACTAGTGCATACTTGAGACAGGACATGCATGGATTGGCTCATCTTACCCCATTCATCGGTCATTAGTCTGCACAGAGAGCATGATTTGGTCAGATCTACTTGCTAAAATATTCAGATGTAAAGTTTTCTTGTCCAGGAATTTTATTGTATCATACATTTTGTCATACTTCATTTAAAGGTTTAATCTCAAAGACATGGCCAGTAAGTGCTTCTATCCTTCAATAAGGACCCTTGCTGAAGACACGCTGGCTTTAATCCTTGAAAGCTGTTGATGCCTGAAGGGTCCAGCAGAGGGGCTTCATACACTCTTCCAAAAATGCATTGAACCCTGTTCAATTTCATTGTATGGAGGGAAACCCCCCCCCACTTTCATCAAATATCTTCTTTTGTGTTTCACAAAAGAAAGAAAGTCATACATTGCTGAGTGAGAGTCATAAATTGTAATGCACTCACCTAAAAATCATAAATCGTTAGGTGAGTAAATGAGTGCATTTCTATTGTTACTTCTAAGGAGCACCTCAGGTTAATTCAACGTAAAACTGCATTTTTATTTAAAAGGTGTAGTGCCGATGAGGGTAAACTATTAACAAAAAACACTAAAATAGTTTACATTTCATTATACATAAAAAGGCAATGCACTTATTAAAAAAAAAAAAAAATGTACTAAACATGCATTTTTTCATATTTTTTGCACTAGTTACAGATCACAAGATTTCATCTGTATTTATTCCATATTAGAGATTTCTAGTTTTAGAATTCGTGTAGCGGAGGCAAAACATTCATTCAGTAATCAGTACATCGAATTAATTCATATTGCTTGGACGTTTTTCCTTAGATTTTTTAAATGCGGTTGTGTTGTAAATACAGTATAACAGACGATCAAGCCCCGTTTACACTGCCAGTGAGAGCTGGCCATGAGTAAAAGCGTACTGATGGTATGAGCAGAGCTTAAGGACTGAATTCATTACACAGTTGGGCCACTTTAGTGTGTGGTATTTACTAACCATCCAGTTTACAGGTGTTAAATGTGTATTAAATATTTAAATTAAGTCATTAAGGCAAACACACCTCCTAGCAGCATGTCAAACAGGCTCAATGTACCCACTGGCTGATCATGAATCCTTTTCTACTGGCTTGATCTTGATGTGAATTCCATTGAGTGATCTGAGCACGACTTGAGGGATCATCTTCGGGGTGTGCTGGGGGTCTTTAATCAGCCGGTATTTCTTCAGTGTCAGCGCCACGGTGACTTTCATCTCATTCATGGCAAAGTTCTGTCCGATGCAGTTTCTGTAATCAGATACACACCAGAAGCTTTCTTTCAATAAGCACAGTAGCAAATATGTTTGCATTAGTACTGAGAACTAACAATTCTGAAAAATGTGTTCACAAATCACACACTTGTGAACAACACTTTTGGATATAGCCCAATGAAATGTTTTCTTTTTTAATAGTAGTTTATTTAATCATACTCATAGATAAGTATTGTTTATAAAAATACTTGAATACATGAAGAAAGAAGCAGTACTTATTATATAAGAATATATACTTTAGTGCAAACTGAATGTAACGTTTTCAGACACTTTGCATTGCATGTTATTTGCAATGAAATGAAAATGTGTTATAGTTTAGATTTATATTAAACGCAGTTAGCTGAACTTTAGAGTGCTTCAGACCCACATGACTTAAGCACATCTTTATAATTTTGAAATATGGTTAGTGTAGGGATGGACAAGCATTTATGAAAAGCTCAAATATACTTTAATGTCATTTCTGTTGAAACCTGTACGTCATGTATTTAAATTAAATGACACATTTGTAATGAAGTTGCAATTTAGTACATGCACAATATTAAATGTAATATCGAATAACTACAGCTACAGTTAAAATGATAATTAACTACTTTAAAGTGCTTTAGTATGTTAGTCAACACATCAAAGTGAGTGTACTTTGAAGCACAATTAAAACAATGATTTAAAATGTTCTTTAAAGGATCATTTTTAATTTGACCTTTTTACAAAGTGCACTTAAGTAGACTTTCATTAATATTATGTTATCTACAAATACAGTTAGATATAAGATTTGTTTTGTTTTATTAATTTAAGGTTTGAAGTACACTACAAGTGCACATTGAGTACAATCAAGCACACTTCTTTTTCACAAGCGTAGCCAACTTAGTAAATCTCTTCCAACAAAATCATTGTCAAAAGGACCCTGCATTATCAGTTGCTTTATAGCTCTTTGCTCTCATCAGAGTTGATTTGAGGTCAAAGACATAAATGCATCAAGCTGCAGGCATGTAATGGGAAAGCTAGCTCACACAGGAGAAGTTCTGTTCGTCATGCAATTATTTTCCATAGAAAAGCAGTTCATATTGACATGTGTTAAACTGCTGGAAGGACAAAAGACCCCATGCATTTATCATGAATGTAGTCCACAAGAGCAGTGTGCAACATTCTGAGTGTTGCAATACAAGCCTTCTGTGACGAACAGAGCAAAAGTTGTTATTCACTGAAAATCCTCCCATATGCATGCAGATACCAAAAGTGTTTCTGATGGCATATACTTGCTTCTCGCAGTTTTTATACTTGAGATACTTGATATTTGAGAGGGGAAGATGTTTTGTGAATAATGACTTATATTTTGGTTTGTTTACTACTACAACTATATAAGTACAGCAGTGCCATATGGGCTACTTTCATTGTAATTTCATATTTTTTGAAGCTTGACAAAGTCAAGTGGTTACTATGAACTGCCATTGTACAGAAACGAGTACCTTGAAGAATCTTCCTTTTCTGTTCAATAGAAAAACTTTTAAAAAATTCTGATATTTTCTCACAATTTAGACTTTTTTTTTCTCAGAATCATAATTGCGAGATATAAACTCAGAATCATAAGATATAAATGCAGAATTCCAAGATATAACCTCGGAATGCTGAGTCCAAAAGTCCAAATTGTGTGGTTTCAAAAAAAAAAAACAGCATTGCCAGCATAGCCAAGTCATCCTGTGGCTGTTTGCTCTGTTCTGTGTGGCTGAAGTGATTGTAATTTCATATTTTTTGAAGCTTAACAAAGTCAAGTGGTTACTATGAACTGCCATTGTACAGAAACGAGTACCTTGAAGAATCTTCCTTTTCTGTTCAATAGAAAAACTTTTTAAAAATTCTGATATTTTCTCACAATTTAGACTTTTTTTTTCTCAGAATCATAATTGCGAGATATAAACTCAGAATCATAAGATATAAATGCAGAATTCCAAGATATAACCTCGGAATGCTGAGTCCAAAAGTCCAAATTGTGTGGTTTCAAAAAAAAAAACAGCATTGCCAGCATAGCCAAGTCATCCTGTGGCTGTTTGCTCTGTTCTGTGTGGCTGAAGTGTGAGTGAATGACCCACTTGCTAAACCGCTCATGTCTCGTTAACAAACCTGGGTCCCGCAGAGAAGGGCACAAAAGCATGCGGTGACCTCTCAGCAACATTCTCCGGCAGAAACCTCAACGGATCAAACACCTGTGGACAACACAACACATTAAATACATTTGGAAAAAATACACCACAGAAATCTAATTAAAACATCAAAGACTTTTATATATACATTGTAAAAATGGGTAACCGGCAATTGTTACCTTCAAGACCTATTTCTACTTGATTTAAGTCATATAATTTGGGTTATTTCTGACTTGAATAAAACCAGTATTATTTCAGTGGCTTTTTAAAATACATTTATATGTACAAACATTAGAATAATTATGAAGTCTTATAATATTGTCTTCTGTTAAGGAATATTACAAACATAAAATATACGGTTTAAAATAAGGCTCTGTTCATAAACCACATAAAATATATTCTTCAGTTGTTTTGCAGATGTGTATTTCGATTGTATTACAGTGGGGTCCAAAATGATTTTGAAATAGATTTTTTTTTAGATTAGATCTATGAAAAGATTAATAAAAATGTTTATGGTTATAGAATTGGTTATGATTGCACTACTTCTGAAGAACTAGTCAGATGTGAGTAAATGATTGTAATTGATCATGTGATTCTTTGTGCAGATGACATCTCAAATCAGGCTGGAAAACATGATCATCAGGTTTTGTTAATGCAGCGCCAGTGCATTAAAATAAAATAAAAACACAGTAAATACTAAGACATTTATTCAATTTTTGTTCATTTTCACTTAAACGGTTTTGCTGCTAAATATTTTGTAATTAAAAACATTTAAATTATATGCAAATGGTGCACTTTCACAACTTTGGACTCTACTGTACACTCCTTTTTTAAGTGATTATTTTTCAGTCATTATTCTGTTATACCTGAGCTATGTTATGTAATGAGTGCTATTTCAGATATAAAGAATGCACACATACATATGGATTCTCCCACACTGAGGCATTCATGTGGATCCCATAAATGCTAACTCCAATGGTACAACCTGTGGAAGAGTAAAACAGTGTTTTAGGGCACGCAGTGATGTATTCAGCCTGCGGTATGTTCACTGTTTTGTGATGAACTGATAACACTCGGTGTCATATGCCTGAACAACAAGCAGCCAGGTTAATGTTTGATCAGATGTTCTCTGCGTTAGAGGTCATCATGTCTGTTTATAGGTGAACAGGGCATAAAGCAGTAGTTCATACTCACTCTGAAATATTACAGGTGCATCTCAATAAATTAGAATGTCGTGGAAAAGTTAATTTATTTCAGTAATTCAACTCAAATTGTGAAACTTGTGTATTAAATAAATTCAATGCACACAGACTGAAGTAGTTTAAGTCTTTGGTTCTTTTAATTGTGATGATTTTGGTTCACATTACAGCCTTTCTAAGTGTGTCCATGTTGGCTTATGCTAATGCTTCTCACAAAGGTTTGGGCTTTATGACTGATGCATTTGGGGAAACTATATGGTCCCCTTCTGAGGCAATAATTAACTTGATCAATCAAAAATGTAGATTCTGTCATCAACTCATTTTTTAAGTTCCTCTAAAAATGTTTTCTTGCAAAGAATTTAGATGGTGACCAGTGATTGTGACAAAAAGTGCCATAAAGTACCATTAAAAGTAGTATATGACTTGTGCGCTTGTCTGTTTTAGTCTTACGGTTGCTTTGTGTGAGGAAGAAACTGAAATATAGGCCTACCTTCGGGTACAGTCCGTCCATCAAAGAAGGTCAAGGGTTTAGTCAACTTTCGTGATATTCCCGGGACAGGAGGGCAAAGCCGCAGGGATTCTTTAATGCACATTGTGGTATAAGGAATTTTATTGAGGTCTTCCCTGAAACATAAGCAGAGAGGAACAGTCTCAGAGAAACTGACAGTGAATAAGGCATTACTGATGTCTGAAAATGTTTAGCAGTTGTGACATCAGTGTGCAGGATTTATTTGTTATTTGCTCATGAGAGCAATGAAATCAAGGTGTAAAGAAAGGGATTTGAATTGATTTGCAATGAATGATCACAATCTGTTTTCTTAAAATCGGAGCAGAGTTGAGTCATTTGGTTTTTGTACTGTACAATGTGTATTTAGATTAAACAAGACACAAATAATGATAGTAGTTGATTATTAGTTGAATTCTATACTGTTAGACAAAAAATGTAAAGCACTGTTTATACCATTGCATTTTTTTTCTAGTGTATTTGTCCTATTGTTTGTAATCTTTTTATTACTGACTGTTTACTTGTCTTCGTTAATTATTTGAGGACTTTTTACTTATGCCGAGTTCACACTGCATGATTTTCAAAGTTGTCGGGATCACCGTTGTTTTCACACTGCAAGACTATCTGGGGTTAGGTTTGTGACGGTGAGGAAATTTTCCCACCGGTTAATCGACGTGTGACAACACCGATAATACCGGTATCACCGCTGGGGCGTTCCCTCTTTTCCTCGCTTTCCTTCACTTTTAAATAGCTTAAAAGCACCGTGCGCATTTTACTTTCACTTTCGAATTAGCGGCAGTTAGGCATCAATTGCTTGAATGCAACAACAAAATACAACGTCAAACTCACTTTAGCCTATATATAAAACATAGAACTTTTATTAACAAAACAAATAAAAATATACCACGCTATAGGGCAGGCTATGCCTAATTTAAAATAAAAAATAACTTACATAAAGTTTAAATAGGTATACAAAACTGAAAATAAGTAAACATGTATAATATATAACCAAATAAATAAGAAATGTAGAACGTTTATTAGCAAAACGAATAAGAAAGCTTGGAGGCACGGCATACACCTTGATGTAAAATAAAATAAATAAATGACACAAAGTTTAAATAAAGTAAAAATTTTTCAAAATCAGATAAACGGCAAAAGTCAACAGGCTTTTCAAAATCCAAAACACTGTCAAACAGGCGCTTTTGCATCACGTTTCGAATCTAAATCATCCGCGATCGTCTTATCTGTCTCACCTCACTCTTCTTATCTGTCTCACCTCACTCTTCTTATCTGTCTAGCCTCACTCGTCTTGTCTGTCTCGCCTCACTCGTCTTGTCTGTCTCGCCTCACTCTTCTTGTCTGTCTCGCCTCACTCTTCTCGTCTGTCTCGCCTCACTCTTCTCGTCAGTCAGCTCGACTCACTCTCCTCACTAGAGAAATTAAATCTGATCTGTGATTCGACTGTGTTCGGCACGCTACATTGAGCAGCCACGCTCAGTTTTTAATTGTCGTGTCTGTTCTTTTACTGAACTAAATGATTTTTATTACTATAAAAAATCAAAACGACGGTGGGGGTCGGTGACGCGGTGGTCAAGTGACGTAACCAGTGTTGCGGCTTAACACAATAGGCAAGCCTATCTGGGGTAGCATTCAGTTGCTGCTGTGATCACATTGCATGATGGATCGGTGACAGGAGGAGTCAACTGTCCAACCCAATGTCACATGAGTAATTACAGTAGTGACAGTACCAGTCCACTGTGTCTTTTCCATCCAGAACCTGCAGAATCTCCTCTCTGCATTTCTCCTGGTGCTCAGGGTTACATGCCAGATTGTAGAAAATCCAAGATATTCCACTGGCTGTGGTGTCATGGCCTTCAAACATGAATGTGTCCACTTCAGCCCTGATATCTTCATCCGACAAACCCTGCTGATGCTCATCCTGTGAGCGACAAAAATACCTCTAACATCAATGATAGATGATACAATGGCACTATGCAACAAAATATCAGCAATTTTCATTTATTTTCTTTAAATATAATTGTTGTGTAAGTGCTTGAGGATATCATACTCGGGCAGACAGAAGAATATCCAAAAAGTCCAAATATCGTTTGTTTTTAACAATGCCCTGCTCCTTCTCAATCTTCAAGACTTCTTTCCTCTTTCTGATAACTTCCGCTAAAAAAATATTAAGAAATTGAAATGACATGATAGCTTCATAGCTTCGCTTGCTACAGATTTACACATCCGTTCAAACATTTGGGGTCGTGAGATTTTGTAATGTCTTTGAAAGTAGTCTCTTCTGCTCACTAACGCTGCATTTCTTTGATTAAAAATACAGTAAAACTGTGAAATATTATTATCATTTAAAATAACAATTTTCTATGTGAATATATAGTAAAATTGATTCCTGTGGTCACGCAGCGCTGAATTTTCAGCAGCATTCCTCCAGTCTTCAGTGTCACATGATCTTCAGAAATCATTCTAATATACTGATTTGCTGCTCAAGAAACATTTCTGATTATTATCAATGTTGAAAAATTTTGCTGTGTAATATTTTTGTGAAAACTGCTCCATTTCGATTCTTTGATGAATAGAAAGTTGAAAGAACAGCATTTATTTTAAATAGAACTTTACTTTACTGTCACTTTTGATCAATTTAATCAATGCAATTAAATTCTTGCTGAATAAAAGTATTAATTTCTAAAATAATAATATAATAAAATAAAGAATAGGAAACATCATACTGACCCCAAACTTTTGAACGGTAGCATATATTCTGGTTTAACTAAGATACATAAGCAGGTATGTATATAATAGTAGCCCTTGAGCAGGCCCAGCCTCAATCAAAAATGGAGTTTCACAAAATCTGCAGAATTCAGAAAAATGGATTTGAATTTTGAACTGGTTTTCAAACAGCTTTCCTTAATCGTCAATACATGGATTGGTGGGATGAACAAGCAAACAACAGTATTGCAAATATATACTATATATATATATATATATACATACATTTTAGAAAGACATATGCAGCCATATTATAAAACGCCCAGAGCCTCATTTCATTCAGATGGTCAAAATCACAGCTAGAGTTAAACTAATCGTTGCATGGTTGGGCCTGCTCGCATGGTTGGGTGCATGACTGTGGCTTAGCAAAAAAACGACACCTGTATGATTGTGTGCTATTCTGGCCGCCTTCCTGAATTTGTATCCATGTGGACTGAGATGAAATATGGCCTTGCTGTGGTAAGGAAACACTCTGAACCTGACGTTCACCATGTGGCAGAGATCATACACCGCCTGGATGTACGGGTTGGTTCCACTGCAAAGAGATCAGTGAGGTTACACTGAAAGGAGACGGATGTGTACAAAAGGACGAGGTAAAGGAGAATGAACTGACCTGTCTGTCTGACAGTTGCTGTTAAAGCTGAACGCACATTTCATGATGCTGTCCAGCGTCATCAGACTTACATGCTGAAACAGTTCAAACGACTCTCCTGATTTGGCATAAACTTCCCACTTACCCTGAAAGTGAAAATGACTCAAACTATAATTAAAACACAACAATCAAAAGACCAGCTTTTTAAATAATTCTATTAATAATTCAATTATTCAATTTAAGTGTATCATGTCACCCAGCAACACTGTAAAAATGAAATGATCAATAAGTCATAGAGGCATTTGCTTTTGCATTAACTCATCAGAAGAATGTAACCAATTTCAACTTAATTTTTTGGAACGTTTTACAAGACTCTATTTTTTAAACTGAAGTGGAAGGTGATTTTTTTAACAGTGAATAAGGAATTACAAAAATTACAAGGAATTCTCAAAAAATCATTTGACCTTCCATTGTTTGGACAAACAAATAGTCCTGTCCCAATATTACATAACTGGTTGTGAAAATGTTGCTGCTTCGGGTTGGTTGAGATGATCAAACAAGCAGAGACATTTCTGCAGCAGTCTTACAGTTGTGCACATTAATTGCTGGGACAGGATAAACTGTTTTTAACATAAAAAGCGAGTAAATAAAGATATTTTTTATTTTTGGGTGAACTATTCCTTTCACATACAAGCATGACTTTGGTTGAATCAGAAACAAGTTTCACATAAGGCTTCAGAACATCATAATGGAAACCAGGAGTGAGAAGCCGTCTGTGCCGAAACCACTTCTGTCCAGTAGACACAAGCAAGCCATCGCCTGAGGAGACAGCCAAGAGTTACTCTAGTGATAATAGAACGCCACAGAATGAATGATGACTTGAGATGGTAGAAATTACATTCATGACAGTTCAAAAAATTGTAAAAAAATCCACAAGGACAGACTTGACCGTAGTTGAAGAAACACCCAATAATAAACCTAATAGTAGATTAAAGGGGTCATATGGTGCGATTTCAAGTTTTCCTTACTCTTTGGAGTGTTACAAGCTCTTGGTGCATAAAGAAGATCTGTAAAGTTGCAAAGACTAAAGTCTCAAATCCAAAGAGATATTCTTTATAAAAGTTAAGAGTCAGCCACACCTACCTAAAACGGCTCGTTCTAACACACCCCCACATGTCTACATCACTATGTGAGAAGATTTGCATAACGCCGCCCAAATGTTCACGCAAAGAAAGAAGGTGTAACTTTTATTCTCGCTGTAGTATTGTTGCCGCCGCCATGTCGTGAAGGCGCTGTGTGATTCATTGTGAAAGCAAAACTACTTTGTTTGGTCTTCCAAAAGAGGACGATATCGCTTCGTCATGCCTAGAGCTGATCTGTGCTGGTCGCTGAGGAAATGCATCAACTTCGTGCTGTGGATCGCCGGATCGGCTTTCACCGTGGACGAAGCGGAATCCAGCCCGGGGTCGTCACATATGGTTGCCGCAGGCATCACAATATGGTAAGGGACGTAACATTTCCGTCACACGCTTGAGGAATTCGGCCAATCACAATGCACTGGATAGCTGACCAATCACAGCACACCTCGCTTTTCAGACCGATGAGCTTTGTAAAAATCAACGCGTTTCAGAAAGGCGGGGCATAGAGGAGAAACAATAATGTACAGTATGTGGAAATGAATGTGTTTTTTTAACCTTAAACCGCATAAACACATTTCATTACACCAAATACACAAAATAATGTACTTTTTAGCAACATCATATGACCCCTTTAATAAAGAAATAATTTTACATTTTAGGTGTGATCTTACCTAACCAAGGGATGAAAAACTTGTATGCATAATCATCTTTTGGTTCTGTAAATAAAGCGAAAGATAATAATTTTAAAATGCTGGTTTTGGTTGTAAATATTTGAGAAAGTTAAATTAAATCGTAAAAGTGTCAAACGGATGATCACCTGTAGTGGTGAGAAGGGTCTTCACATATGATGGGTGGTGGATGTTCAGAATGGACAATGATGGGCCAAACCACAGCGGAAAGGCAAAGGGATACTGTCCACTCCACTTCATAATCTTTTCCAAATCATGTCCATCCTGGCGAAACTATGAATATAAAAAAGGTCTGTGTAACTGTTATGGACAATAAAACAGGTTTCAAGAACAAATTGCGTTCTCACTTTATTAATTTCACGTGAATTCTACCAACTGCTGCTGAAGAATGTGAATGCAAGGCAAGGCTGTTGTGTTTATTGCTGCACAATATAATTATGTAATTGTTTACTTGTAGTGAATAGACAAGGGCTCAGGCTCGAGGGTTCATCCCTCGAAGATAACAAGGGCAAACTGGGGCAAATGCCTACATTGTGTATTATGACTGTAATACAATGGTTTTTCAAAGTTGTAATTCAAACAAAAATGACTGGAGTACGTTTTACAAGAAAATATTACTTTTGTAAATAATTTTGAAAATTACCAACAATTTGTTTCTTCACTAATTTTTTTCCCCACTGTACTCATGAATAGACTGTATAAAATGGTATAAATGTATAAAAAAAATTTAGTAGGATAAATCTCCTAAAAGTTATTCTAATTAAATAGAAGGAAGCATGCACGGACTACAATGGACTCCAAAGATCAGCTTCAGAAACAGTCACTGTTTGTGGTTGTGTTGTTTACCTCCTTGACGTGTCCGATGAGCCAGTGTGCAGTGTACACATCCCTCTTCTCCTCATAACCAATAATTTAACCACTATCGCCAAACACACAAGCAACGCGAGTGCAAAGACATGATTCACGGAGAGCGACGCGTAAAGCTGCATAACATGAGGAGACTGTTGCGCGCGGGGTCCGCTATAGCACTGAGCTCGATGTGAGAAAGAGGAAGCGATATGAGAGAGAGCGAGGGAGAGAGAGGGAGAGCGAGAGAGAGAGGGAGAGAGAGGGAGAGAGAGAG